AATGTATCACTAGTTTATTTTAGCAAGAATTTTTGTTTAAATTAACTACAGTTCCACTTGCTCAAGCAAAGGTAAAAATGGAAAGATTAAAAATAAGAAAAGCCCAAAATTAACAGCAAAGGCTCAAGGCCAGATTGCTGAAGATGGACTCACATGAGCAATGACAGGACTGGCAGGGACCAGTCCTTGCTCTCGGCTCTGTGCCTGGCTTTTAAAGCCCTTTAAGGAGAGCTGATGATGGAGATAGAGCCAGCTTTTACAGTGGCAGCCCAGCTGGGAATCAACACCAAGCACATAGAACTGCAAATCAAATCCCATTTGTAATGAAAACCTTAAGGTGACGGCCAGCCCAGCAGAAGGCAACCCTCTGGTCGGCTGCCTGATTCCCACTGCATCGCACCACTGACGTCATTCCTCTCCCTGCTGTAGGAGCTGTAATGAGATTCAGTATCTTGCGTCTCTTCATACAAGTCCGCCTCACAGTTACCGAGCTAGTAATTACAGAGGAAAGGGGAGTGGGAGCAGGGTAGTCAGGCTAGCATGTTTCTTCCTCTTTCTCTTGTCCTTCATCTGGGATTGCAGCAGGTTTGCTGCCAGGAGCTGCCTCTTGCATCATCTTGAGCCACCTCTCACACTCCCTTCAGCCTTTGGGGCTCCTTTTTCCCAGGGCAGTGCTGCAGCCCCTGCACAGAGCGGGGAGGAGGGTCTGAGGGCTGTTGCTCCTGCTCTGCAAACATCTGTGTTACTATTTCTGAGGTCCACAGCAGGCACCTTGGGGTTTGCCTTGGGGTTTGACAGGCACCTGCTCTAATTCCACATTTCTGGAGCACATCTTCCCTGGGCAAGGAGGAAGGGGCTTTCCCCATAAAACCCCCTGCAGCAAACTGAGTTCTGCTGTCCTGCACACTGGGGCCAGGACCATGCCGACCCAGCTGCTACTGGGCCATCAGCAAGTTCTTCTTTATAACAATTACTTCTGTGAGACAAAAACCAGAGGAAATACAACTTTTTCCTCTTAATGAGTGCCCTTTCCTGACTTTTCATCAATATACTAATGGGAGCTCTGTTTTTTCATTCATTACTGTCAATGTTCTGTTTCTTGCTGCATTCCCAGCATTTATAGTAGAGGTCTTTGCTTAAGAATACCACTATGGACTCCTGGACAGGGGGGAGTCATTAACAGAAAAATCAAATTAGCCATCCCAAAGCACAGATGAGGTATGGGGAAGCTTATGTGGGGAAGCTGGAGCTGTGGAGGGTGATGAGGATTGGGCAATGCTGGGGAGCATTATGTTGCCTCTCACCAGCATGGAGCAGCCAGCAGAAAGGAGCTTTACATAGGAATAATTTGTCCCCAACGCAGACACTAAGGAATATTCATGCCTCTAAATACCTAGGCCTCTCCTTCTGACTTGATTGCTGTTTTAGTTAATTTACCCTAATGAAGACGAGTGTTTCGGTACAAACAGCGGTTGCTAACAAGCACGTGGTGGCAGCAGGAAGTGCCAGCCAGCGAGGCGGCAGCCGGGTAAAACCGACCCAGGCTGCCTGGTGATGGAGAGCTGCACTGCTCCGAAACCTGGCTGCAGCTCCCCGAGTAGGGCTTGCCCCCTCCAAGCCACAGCTCCTTTCATCTTCCCAGGGTTATCATGCCGAGAGCAAATACATAGCCACAATTAAAAACTCCTTCCTTCTGGCTGTGTTCTTCTAGCTAGGCAGGGTTAGTGGAGCAGAGCAGAAATGAGTCGTCTCTGCCTCATGCGAAGGTTGCCATCCACGAGATATTTTTTTTATGGTTTCAAATGGAGTGAAAGGATGTTTTCCAAGCTACAGAGCAGCAATATGCTGATCTCACTTAAACATCTGGAATAGTTTCGAATGATCGCTTTAGCTTAATACAGCAGCAATTATAGAGTTATTTTATTTCTGGTGTTTTGGAGGCTTTTTTTTTTCCCCTTGGTGGCTTAGGAGGGGCCATATGAATTGCAGGGACACACTGGGCTGCTGTGCAGGAGCACTCCCAGTCTCAGCCCAACCCCAGGCAGCTGGAACAGCTCAGCAGCCTAAATCTGGGCACATCTGGCCAGTTCCTGCTTTGAATTTAAACCATTCAAAGTATTTAATTTTTAAAAATTATTTTAGCAGTTTAAAATTATTCCTGGACAAGGCTGCCAGGTTTTCCCTTTAGGTTTTTAACAATGCTGGTAAGAAAGTAATTACCTCACCCTAATCGTCCTTGACAGTGAACCGAGTTGTCTGGTTCAGTCATGCTCAGCTCTCTTCAGTTTGGGGGATGCACTGATTTTTCCAGTATGGATGTGGACCCCTCCAACAAGACCCAAGCATATGCCACCCTTCCCAAACCCTTCATCAGCTACCCACAGACACCACAAACCAGGTGATGAAAAATTGCTGATCTCAAACCACATCTATCCCAACCCCCTTAAAACACAGGGCAGCTATTGCCATACCAAAGCACAAAGTTTGTGATGGGACCAAGGACCAGCCCACAGCCTCAGCAGCTCCATTCCTATCTCTGCTGGTGGCCCAGCAGCCCTTCTGTGACAATCCCAGCTTTCACAAAAGCATCCAGATATGGTATAAAGACATCAAGAGAAACAAATCATCTCTTCCCAGAGTCCATTTCTTTCCATAGTCAATCACCCAACTTTTATTTGTTCAGCCTCAATATCCAGCCACTGATTCTCAATATGCTTTTCCTTACAAGAGTTAAGAGCTGACTTTCCAGTATCTATGATTTTCACCTTACAACAGGTTTTTGGCATGAGTAAACCAAGGACGGGTTCATTTGCAAAAGATATTTTCTTACAGTACAAGAAAATATCTTTTACACAGGGATAAGAACATCTAAGTTGTAACGGTTCAAAAAACAGTTCAAAAACTTCTGCCTCACTTCTTGGCTAGTCTAAATCAATTTGTCACAAACCTAAGCAAAGCAATCCGAGTCTTTCAAACTCAACTAGAAGCATCCAAAAAATCCAAGGAGTATAATTAAATAAAGAATGGGAAGTGGTTGGGTGAAGTGCAGCAAGACTTCCTTGCCAGACTACGTTTCACACATACTGTGCTTTGAATAAAAGGAGGATGAGTTTTGGGTGGTGATCATCTAAACCGGCAAGTAAAACCTAACCTGAGATCCAGCTACAAACCAGCTGATTCCTTGAGCAACCCAAAGCTAAACCCATTTTTTATTCTCAACCCAAAGATGCACATTTCCTCAAGAGCAGTAACAATTTTTCTCTATTATTATTCTTAGCCAGGACATCCAGCCTTTCAGCCCATGGTTGCCCAAGGTAAAAAATCAGCACAATTTGAACTGTGATCAAGCAAAATATGAGAGTTGTGTTTTATTTAATTAACTCCAGCAAACAAGGCTGCCTGGTAGACACAACAAAATTTGGTCTGGATGTAAAGATGGAACAATAATTGTTTTGTCTTCAAGGCAATAAAAAAAAATCTGTATTAACAAGAAGCTGCCAGGTTAAAATTCATATTTAATAAACTTTTTCCCATTCTGTTACATTAGCATGCAGAAATCATAAATTCTTGTTATTTTGCTCAAAGTCAAGATGCCGTCATGTGTCACTAGGAAGTCATTGCTGTTGGTATGAGGAGCTTGCCTAGGAACTACAGAGTTTGCTAAAGAATAGCAGAAAGACCTGGGGGATGGCAGTTGCTGAAAACATGACTTAAGATGAAAAAGCACAGAGAAAGATAAAAACAGGAGGATGACATAATTTGTAAGACAAACCTAGAGCAGATGGGTTCAGGCAGGATCATTTAGAAGTATTTAAAAACAGCTGCAGTTGGCCATGCTCTTGACCACTTGCTCTCCAGTGGATAGTAGAGCCAGCACTACTTCTGCTGAGCTTCTCTCCCAGCTTGTCTTAGCAACACAGAAGCCAGACCCCAAAGTGTGGTGCAGGTACACCAGAAAATTATATCTCTAGATTAAAAAAAGTATTCCTGAACCACTATTCAAATAACTACAAAAATGAAGTGGTAAATTGAGTGAACTACACCAAGGGCTCTGTTTAACCGTGTGGTTCACTAGGACCTGAACAAGCAGCTCCCTTTAAAACTTTCCCCTTTGGGGTTCACCAGGATGACAGTAGCACACAAAAAGAAGGAAAAACCAGTATTGCCAGAGAGCTGTAGGAACATCTTCTACAGCACCAAAATAATTAATCACTTGTCCCTGTAAGGGTCAATTTGTGGTGATCAATCCCCATAGCCAGCCACAGCCTGGCCCAGGAGGGCAGCAGGCTCAACACACTGATTACAGGAGCAAAGCTACAGTCCCAGACTCTTCTAGTAGCATGGATGGAGCACTGTGATGTCCCGCAGTGTGGGAAGTGGTGATGGTGGGCTGACACATGGTGCCAGAATATACTGCAGTGCTGCCAAGCTTGGAGTCAGGCTTGGTCCCCACTGGGACCCAACACGCCATAGTGGCCACCAGCATAGTCATTATTGCTTCTGGTGGAAACTAAGCAATGTAATGGGCACTTGGAGGGTACCAGGTGCCTGCTGCTTATGGGGCTGTATTAATAACTAGGACTAAAACCACACAGACAAACATAAAGGGGGACAGAGCATCTCCAATGTACAAAACAACTGGGATGAAGAAAGGTGATTTCTCCAGAGCAGCAGAATTGAGGAATGCAAAGCTCTCCTCAGCCCTCAGAGCTCTCCCAGCACTGAAGCCCAGCCAGAAACCAGCTCAGGAGGCCCTTTTGGTTCCTCCAGGTGGAGCACATCCCTCTTCCTTTACTATTTCAGTTAACAACTGTGTTCCTCTCTTGCAGCCAGGCCGACAGTGCAGGAGGGAGATGCAGCCGCAGCCCTGAGCGGGTGCTGCCACAACCACCCGTGACCCACCTCCACGAGCCCAGCACCAGCCATGAGCGGCTTCTTCTTCCGCCCCGGCCCCCCGCCGGGG